TGCCTCTGGAGGCTCCCATCATCAATCCCAGGGAAGGAGAACCCAAGGCCCCTGTCCCTCCACATTCCTCTCTGAACCCGATCATTCTGGGGTCACAGCTCTCACCTTAAGGAAGTAGCCACGGCTGCCAGCCACCACGGCGCCCTTTTCCCCCTCATAGCCATCCACCATCACCACCAGATCCACATGAGAATACTTCTTCCTGCAGCTGCAGTCACCCCACACCCGCTCCACCTTGTTGTCCACATCCTGCAGGAATCCGGAGAAAAGACGAGCAGGAGCCTATCACCTCCTCAGTGCCCTGGAACGCTGTGACACCAGTCCCTAAACCACACTGGGCCCTCTTTGAGGGCTCAAACTCCAGCCTGTAGCTTATTGTGTGGCCACTTGGCAACAAGCCCGGCCCAGTTGTGCTCCTCCTGGGAAAATATTCCCGCGGGATGAATGGAGGCAACAGAGGGAGACCCCGTCCTCACCGCAGTAAGCGCCTTTCCCATGAATTCCCCCAACAATGGTGTGCTCAGTGTTGTCTGAGTTGCTCTTTGTCTGATCCCGGTGGGAAATGCTGGCTTGTCATGCAGATTTCCCTCACCCGCCCACCCAAGACAGGCTTGGGGGATCCCCCGCTGGGAGCCCCCTGCTTCCCACTGTGAGCTTCCTGGCCCCTCTGACCCAGCCCCACCTCCCTTCCCGTGTCCCACCTCATCGTTGCTAATGGGCACAGAGGGGTGGAGGAGGTTCCCAATCTCCCGGAGGCTCTCAAAGCGTTCAGCCTCCAGCCGCAGACGCTCAGAGTCGCACTCCAGGATGGCCTCATCAATGAGCAGCCGAACTTTCTTTATCTGGGATACCTGGAGACACTGCAGAGAGACCTCAGGATGAGGTGGGGGAGAGAGAAGACCACTCAGAAGAGGGGCCTGCTCATCTAGCACAGAAAATCTTGGGCCCAGCATGGTGAATTCTAGACCCACCACATATTCTGGAATGAGTCCCTGGGCTGGACACACTCAAGAACAGCTGAAAGGATAGTGGGGTGACAAGCTGGGCTCTGGGAGGCCTGAGCTGCTCCCATGGCAGCCAGCATTGCATTCATTAACCAGGATGACTAACAAACTGGGATGGAAGCAGGCAGGGAGGGACACACTGAGGACACAGAAGGACTGAGGCCACTCGAATTCGCAGGGATGAGCCTTTGACTGACAGAGTGATCCTGGGGAGACCAAGGACACTGAGGAAGAGTCAGTTATTGCTGGTGTGGGACTGAGAGATAAAGAATCCTCCCAGCTGGGGCATTAGGCAGTCCCCCCTCATTTGGTGGGCACTTCAGGCCACCAATCTGGGCAATTCCAGGCAAAGCTCTGGACAAACTGTAGGCACAGTGGAGGGAGCTGGGGTCTCACTCACCCCCAGGATATCAGCCGTGAGTTCATCCAGGTTCTGTGCACTCTCTGGTACAGATTCATCCGTCCCTACTGGCTCCTTTTTCTGCAGCAAGAGGAAAAAGGAACGCCAGGTGAGTTAAAGAGAAAAATTCCAGCATCCCTCAGTGACACAAGGGAGAGACTGGAGGGCTGGGAGAAGGAGAGATGTCACCAGTTGGTGATGTCCCACCATACAGTGACCCAGGGCACTCATGCCCCACCTTCATCTTGTCCCCAATGGTTTTGCTGCACAGGTTCTTCAGCTTGTTCAGGTTGTCGGCACGAAACCTGCCTGGAAAGGAAGGCAGGGGCTGTCACCTGAGAGAAGGCTGAATGAGAGAAAGGCTGGGGCCCCTATCTGGTACAGAAAGGTGATATGGAGCTCCCATGGGAACAGCAGTGGGGATAGCAGTTCCAGGAATACCCCAGGCACCAGCCCCTGGGGTTTTTGGGAGGACAGAGGTTGAACATGTGGAGCAGAGCCACAAAGAGTAGGGATGTCACTGGAAAACACCTGGAGTGACATTGCACTGGGACATCCATGCCAGGCTGGAAACCCCCATGATGTGCTGGAACCATGCTGGGATGGGACACCCCCAACTCTAAGATGAGAACCCTAAACTGGGATTCCCCGTGCTGGGCTGGGACCCCCACACTGGGATAGGACCTCCACACTGGGACCCCCATGGAGTCCCCCACACTGCAGTGAAAGTCCCATGCCAGGCTGGGAACAATGTACTGGAATGGCATCCCTGTCCCATGCTAGGACCCCCCACATTGGGCTGTGAGCCCCATGCTTGACTGGGAACCCCACCTGCCAAAACAGGAACCCCTCGACCAGGATGGGACTTCCCACATCAGCATAGGATCTCCATACTTCACTTGGACCCCTCCAGTGCTAGGACAGGACCCTCATGCTGGGCTGGAACCCCCACACCAGGATGAGATCCCCCTGACGCTGCACTGGAACGCCCATGCCAGGATTGCACCCCTCCCTCCACAGGCTTGGAGCCCCCCATGCTGGGACCTCCCTGTTAGGATGGGACCCCCACACTATGCTGGGACCCCACATTGTGATGAGACACCTCCCTCAGCAGGATGGGATTGCTAAGGACTGAGCAGACCCTGGGATCTGCGGCCACAGTGACGAGATTCAGGGGGTGTTGGATGAGGGGCAGCATGGATGCTCACCCTTCATGATCCCAGGGCTGGGAAGGGCAGAGCCCAGGACCCGGGGAAGCTCAAACTAGGGACACCTCCGCTCAAACTAGGGACACACTAGAACTCGCCACTCTAATCAGCGGGAGGGATCAGTCCCCAGGGGATCCAGAGCCAGGGAACACCAACAGGACACAGCACGGCACAGCGCGGGCTCCACGCACCGGCGCCGCGGGATTGCATCAGCCAGCGCGACCCGCCAGCCTGTCTCACCCTGCAGCCACCCGCCATTCTCCAGCACCGCCGTCCTGGGGACACAGAGCCCGCGGGAAGGGGGCTGGGAAGCAGCTGATCCCTTGGACATCTAGGTGAACGCATTAAAGGGGAGCCCTAAGCGCCGCTTTCATCCCGCAGCAGTGGAATGCCGGGGTGACCTGGGAACAGCGGGGTTTGGGGGCACCCACTCCTCCCGCCGCCCTCCAATTCCTCTCCACATGCGGCCCGCACTGACGGAGCTCATCCCGCTGCCCCACATCCCACCGGGAGCCACGAGGAGGTGGTTCCTCCACGTGTGGGTGGAGATGGGACCCTTCGGGTGTGGTGTACCCCAAATCTGGGGTTGGCGCTCTCTAGGATCCCCCCCGCCCAGCTGGATCCTGCGGCAATGCAGGGAGCGGATCTCTGGGGATCGCAATGGGACGGGATCCATGTCCGGGCTAAGGGGAACCTGGGAGGAGGGAAGGCGGGTCTAGTGGGAGAACTTCTCCCACCTCAGTCCCTGGGATTAGGGACAAGGGGATCCACCCAGGGACAAGCCCTCGGTCTCTGCTGTGATTTACCCAGAGAATCAAGTCCCAGACGGCAATGATCCACTGAGGTGATCCCCGAGGGTTGGGGAAGAATCAACAAACTGCGGAGGGTGGGAAAGACCCCCCCACTAAAGGTCACCCCATCTCATCGAGGAGGTTCGGGGACCAGTGTGGGGGCCGCTTCCAGGTCCTGGGGAGGGAGGGACAGACACCCCTAGGGGATCCCCCATCCCCGAGGAGGGGCGATGGTGGGGGAGGTCCTGTCACCTGCGGGGCGGTCACCGGGCTGACGGGGTTGGGGGGAAAGGCACCGGGAGGGGGGGACATGCCCGCGTGTGATAAGGGGGTCCCCCAACCCGGGGGCTCCCTCCCCTCACCCACCCACCCCCACGTACACCTCCGCCAGGCGCCGTCCGCTCGCACCAGCGCATCCACCAGCGCGGGGTCCTTGAAGCGCTTGCGCTGCATGTCGCGCACCATGGCGGGGTCTCCGCCCTTGTCGGCGCGGAACAGGTCCAGGTCCAGCACCATGACGGGCGATGGCGGCGGCGGCGGCACCAGGAACACCGGCGGGGACAGCTGCTCCGCGCGCGTGCGCGGAAGGGGCGCGGCCGCGGCGGTGCGGGCGGGGCGCAGCAGCGCCCCTTGGAAGAGG